TAGCGTATTATATCCCCGCTCAAGAGCAAGCTCTATGCACGTTATAATCCATATTATTACCACAGCAGACAGCTCACAAACATTGCTTCCCGGGAAGCATACAGCACAAGCAGCCGAGTGAGCGCTAAAACACTAACGGATTAATTGCACGATCTTAAGCAGCCAGGAGCCAGGCTCCCATTCGTGTAAAATGCCGTTCCCAAGGACACAGTGTCGGATCCTCTGGCGAGATTCGAGCACATGACCTTTCGGTTGTGCACCCAACAGTCCAACCACCAGACCACCGACGTAACACTAAACACAAAAAAGTCCCAAAACAAAAATCGCATTTAATATGTAGAAACTGTTATTTTGGTCGAGAAACTGGAAAATTGTATGTCTATAAAACAATTCACACTTTTAGTTGCTAACCTCACTTCCTGAAGATAGAATGCTTTGGCACTAGTCCCAAGAATGCACGGACGATTTTGACGTCATATGTAGAAAGACCTCAACAGGAAATGAAACATTTGCATTTGGGCGTTCATTGATCTTCTGCCGTAAGCTGTATATGTTATTGATGAGCATTGACATAATAAGCTTGTGTGTAAAATGTGCCGCTACAAGACTCAGGCGTCGGGAATCGAGTGGGTCGACGACTGGATTCGTAATCGGTGAGTATGCGGGTTCTAGGTTCGTATGCTCAAAGGGGTCCGATTTCGAGTCCTTGAGAAGGCATTTGACAAGATTTCGTTTTTTCATTTGGGAGAACGTAAGAGTGATCCACTGGGAGACAGACTGAGACAGAATATTTCTTCAACACATTGTTATATTGATTTTACATATTCGTCTCTAAACGTCACATCATAGTCAGCCGTTGAAGTCCTCTTCCCAACAATAGCTCGTCTTTTTTTCTTTAAATAAGATCATATCCACATAATCTTCATCTGAATATTCACAGAATACGGTCCTATCAGAGAAAAGGCTTGATCTATCTAAGCTGTTACAAACTCTAGAGAGCCCATATTTGATGTGGGACTTCTTGTATCAATGGGGATTTGAAATGGCTTATTAGATAAGCAAACAGGAATCGGTTGCTAGGGAAACGGCGGCCATAGTGGATTTTGTATACCTATATTGATCCGGTTCTATTCCCTTGTATATAAACAAATACGTGTTTGATTCGGCATGCACGTAGAAAAAAAGCAGATCTAAAATTAACTTGTTTAGAGGAATTTTGGGTGTACGCTAAGGGTTTCATTTCATGTTACTTCAAACTCGGTTTCTTACATAACGGCGAAAAAACGGGGGGGAATCAAGTTTTCTGAAGCCACCTAAGTGCAATAAATAAAATTCCTCTACACAATTTTAAAACTTGGTCGCATCAACAACCCATGAAAATTACTCTGAAATCGAAAAAGAAACAAAGCAGAAAAGAATGAGATAAAGCATGGAAAAAAGCATTTTGAGAAAACGGCCGTCAAAGGTAAGAAAAGGGCAAAATAGTTCCATTCTCATTAAAAACCTCCATAAGATATTATTTCAAACCAAAACATGGCAACTACTCCAAAATATTAACACAGCAGAAAAAAATGGGGTTTCCAACTAAAACTGAAGCATATTTTGGGCAAAACATGCTTTTTTAGTCAAAAGCTGATATTGATTTTCCTTTTAAAAGTCTCTACTCTCTGCTGTGAAATCCTTTCAAACACCACTTTAAGGTACAGAACCACGTACATTCGTTTGGGACATTGTTCAGAATATTATGTCCAAGAAATGATATATTATGTGTTAACCTCAGTTTTTATAATTTCACTCCAAAACACAATTTTTTATTGCCCCACCACCCTCTTAACCTCAGGCCGCTTCTCAAGAAAAACAAATTCTGAAAAACGCAACAAAAAACCCCAAAACAAAGCTATGCTACAACATGCAAACAAACAACACAAACAGCCAGGTAGTTTTGGAATGGAGAGTGTATAGAGCAGATCTCTTTCTTGCCACTATGTTGCCTCTGTCCGTCTATACCGCATTTTTTCCCTACTAAATTACCGTTATCGTATCGCTGAGATTCTTTCAGCATACACTGAGGGTTTTTAACCCACAGGCAAACAGACTTGCAAACAGACTGGTAGACCAGCAGTTGCGCAGCTGGGGCCGCTAATTTCCTCTATGCTCAGTTCCCTTCCGTAATCCCCCACTCCCGGCAGGTCTATAAATAGACAGGCGGAAACTGCCCAGGGCGACCACTTCCTCCACAGGGCCACAGTGTGGCGCCACTGCTCGGGCGATC